CCAGGATTAAACCCAATGATGGAGTTAAGTATTAGAATTATGTATGGATTTAAAATGCCTTCTATGGCTGATTACAAATAATCAGTAATCTACTAAATGAGCCCAAATTTATTTTACATTTTCTCCTCTATGTTTCCCCTTGCTGTGCTTCTTCCTTCATCCCCTCCCATATCCCCTCCAGTTCCTCCAGCTGACATCAAGCTCAGGGGCCTCAGGATTCTGCACTTGAGCAGAAAGCAGCTGTTTGTGCAGCTCAGGCATCCTTGGTTGGGAAAGAGGGAAGGTGGGAAAGAGGTGATGTCATTTTAAAATTAAGGAGTAAGGGAAGGACGAAAAAGGGACTCGGAGGGCTGAGCAGCTGGAAGAAAAACATGGCCACAGAGAAGGTGGCACGTAGCCGAGGGCGCTCCCCGTTCTGGGCCGGAGGACCTGGCCAAGGAGAATTGGAAATAGGAGTAAGGAAACCTCTTGAAGCCTTTGATAATATTTCTTGGGCCCAGATGTGGGGTGGAGGATGGAGTCGTTGAGGATGGGGAACGAGATGACCCTTGGGTTTCCACCTGGAAATGAGGTGCTCAGATTCTAGATTAGGGAAGAGGGAAGGTAGGGAGGCAGAATAGAGTTCAACACTGGGGCAGGTGGGGATTCCTAGGAGGGGAACAAAGGCCCCTCTATCCTGCAGGGGTGCGGCCTTCTACGTTGCTTCGCCTGCCTGTGGTAGGCTCCTATACTATAGCTCCTGTACTATAGGAGGCTGCCTATAGTAGCCTCCTGCCTGAAAGGCTCCTAAGCCGGGCCCCACACTGCTTCATTCTGGGACCCGAGGCCGTGCAGTCTGGATTTGGAGGGGTGCTGAAGGGGTGAAAAGCGCTTGGTCTGGGTTTGGAGAGAGCTGGGAAGGTAGTGGGTAGGGAGGAAGAGGTTGGGGGAGGTAGAGTCGGCTCACTGTCCTGGGAATGACAGGCCTTTGAGACGCACTTACTGCCTCCTCCACTTTGCGGTAGTGAAGTCTGTGCCGGTTAATACCTTTCTTTCCATCTCTCTGTCTTCCCTGGACCTTCCCCCCCCCCCCCCCCCCCCCCCCCCCCCCCAACTCCAGTCACATCCTGGCTGTGCCGTCCTTGTCTCCACTCCTCCCCATCTCGTCCCTTCCACGTCTCGTTACCCCCTGCCGTCGTTCTGTCCGTGCCTGGCCCGGTCCCGGTCCCGTGTGCCTCCTCCCACCTGTCTGCTTCTCCTTGCCTTCTCCTCCCCCGCCCGTTGGTTCTCACTCCCCGCAGCGGAGGGGAAGGGGTTCAGCTCAGACGAGGAGAAGCCGGAGGCGCCAGCGGGAGACCCAGCAGGCAGCGAGCAGGAGGAAGAGGGCTCGGGCGGTGACAGCGAGGACGACGGTTTCCTGGACAGTTCTGCAGGGGGCCCCGGGGCTCTCCTGGGGCCTAAACCGAAGCTAAAGGGAAGCCTGGGGACTGGAGCCGAGGAGGGGGCCCCGGTGGCGGCTGGAGTCACGGCCCCCGGGGGCAAAAGCCGACGGCGCCGCACGGCATTTACCAGTGAGCAGCTTCTGGAATTGGAGAAGGAGTTTCATTGCAAGAAATACCTGAGCCTGACAGAGCGCTCCCAGATTGCCCACGCCCTCAAGCTCAGCGAGGTGCAGGTCAAGATCTGGTTTCAGAACCGGCGGGCCAAGTGGAAGCGCATCAAAGCTGGCAACGTGAGCAGCCGTTCTGGGGAGCCCGTGAGGAACCCCAAGATTGTCGTACCCATACCCGTGCACGTCAACAGGTTCGCGGTGCGGAGCCAGCACCAACAGATGGAGCAGGGGGCCCGGCCCTGAAGGGGCGCCCGGGGACGGTGGACGGCGGCAGATCGGAGACTGGGGTGGGGCTCTGTGGACCCGCGGGGCTGCCACTGTGATCCTGCCCTGGGACAGGGCTCCGCTGGCGACTAACTCAGCGCTAGGTACGCTCTCCTGGCAGCCTGAGACGTGGGCACTCGGCTCTGAGCCCACTGCAGAGATCCTCAGACTGGGGGCTTCAGGGTTAAAGGGGCCTCAGTTCTCATCACTGTGGCGCTGTGGGGACGGAGGTGGACTCCTGGGGAGGGGGGGAGGGGACTCTAACATGCCTAGGGCCTGAAAGGTTCCCAGCTAACGCCCTGGAACTCCTCACGGGGGTGGAAAGAATCCACGGCGATGCCTAGCCAAGCTGATCACAGCTCCTTATTTATTTTCTGTAAAGTTTGTATATACGGAGCTATGTGCCTCTGTCTGTCTGTTGCACCTTGGAGAAAGACTGGGAAAGTTCGATGTCCCCGTCATCGTTAGCCAGAGTTCAGTTTCCTCTTACTGCCTTGTGGTGGGCCGGGTCTCGCCTAGCGCAAGGGCAAGAAACCGCGTCACCAGCCTCCTTAGAAACCCTTCAGCTCGCACCACCTCCCCCCACGTAAACTGCCTCCACTTCGGTCCTTTCCCGTCCTTGGTTCCGCCCACAGTCCACACCTAGACCTCACATTCCCACCACAGCCCTTCTCTCCTCTTCACCCATTAAACAGGCAAGTGCTTCATCTCTGCTCTTTCCTTTGGAAGAGTTGGCGGACTTAAGACTAGAAGATTCACTCCCTTTTGTATGATGAGGGGAAATGAGTACTTGACCCTGGTTTAGTTAGTTGGCGTACGGCCAGGCCCTAACTAGGCAGAAGTTACCAGTCCTGTCAGTGACTAGGGAGGGCAGTTTGGGGGGCGCACTTTTATCACCTGTGAGCTCTTTACTTTTTCTGGGCGGAGGACACAGCAGCCCCCCTCTGGTATTTCAGATGTGAGGGCCTGGAGTAAGACTCCTTTCTAGCTCTCTGTTCGTACTGCATTAACTGTGGTGTCTCCTTCTCCCCATCGCATGTTTTACGGAGTTTGGGGTACCAAACTCTCTTCTGTTCTAAAACGAGATTGGTTGAAAGGGCCCCCTGCAAAATGGATGAGGCGGGAAGGCATGGTGGTTCTGGACAGGTGTGTACTGTAGGGGGAGCTACAGAACGAGGAGCTGGGAGCTTGGAGGTGGGACTTCTACGAGCGAGTTAGGTGCACCAAGTAACCACGAGGTTAAGAGGCTTCAGGGGCACCCGCAGGAAACAGGGCGTCCTGTGAGCGAAAGAAGACAAACTAAAGCTATTTGCCGTTTCCCCCACCTTCACCGAAGATAGCACCTGTGGAGGGGGCTGCTGCACACACTCGCCTGCACAGACACTGGGCAAAGAGGATTATTACAGAAACCAGCTGAAGTTGGGATCATGGTAAGCGGGCCTTCTTGGGAAGAAACCTGACCTACACGGATTTGGGAGGACAGCTAGGGGACGGAACAGAGCCACCGAGAAGAAAACCGGGGCTTTGAGGGAGGCAAGGAGACTCAGAAGAGTGAGGTCAGGGCAGGAAGTACAAGCTCAAGTACCCCGCCGGCCTCCTCTCCTTCCTTAGAAAACTGTGGCAACCCGATCCCTAGAATGGCAGACCACCCAGTGTTTACGCAGGCGAAGACAGGCTTTCCTCGGCAGTGCCTTTCTCCCGGCTGGTTTTGGCAACCGAACAGCAAGCTGGGGCTGTGACCGGCTATTAACAACAGGGTCACGGTTCCCCAGCTGGATGCAGGGGTCCAGGGCAGGGCTCCTCTATTTCGCTGAAATCCAGCAAGGCTTGAAAATTAGGCTAAAAAATGTAGTCGGGATCGGCCCCATTCCTGATCTAGACTGAGGCTGTCTCTGCCCACACGGGGAACCTACGGGGTTACGTTCTTTAGGGGACATGCCGGGCAGTGGTGGAGGGTCACAGGAGCTGTTGTCACTTTGGTGGTGGGGACCGTGTCCACAGGTCTCAGCCTAGAGCGGACGTTCTCTGGCTCCATGCCTGAGGGAAGGTGGGGGTGGGATCCAAGCTCCTGATTAGCCATTTTCTTCTGGATTTACCTACGAAGCCTCCCAAACTAAACTGTACTGGGCAGCGCTCAGCCACTTCAGCAGCTGGCTTTCCTTAGGGAAAATAAGAAAAATGATTATTGCTAGTATTTTTCTGAGCCCAGGAACCCATTCTTACACACACCCAAGGCCCTATTTCTGTCCTACCCTTAACTTTGCTGAAGGCTCCTACCAGCCTTGCGAAGGGGCTGTGGACCAAGAAAATACAATCCGGTTTCTTTTCTGAATAGCATTTACCTGGTTATCGACCTTCACTTAAGTGGGTCCCCGTCTGGACTGCCAGCCCTCCCACGCCCAATGAACACTCATTAAATGACAGGAGACAGGGCCACCAGCAGAGTGGCTGTAGGAATGGGAAAACAGGCTCTTGGGAGAGCAGGGACCTTAACGTAGCAAGTTCTCGTCCCTGAAGAGTAGGTATAGAGGGGCTTCCCCAGGCCTTCCTAGGGTAAGGGGCAGTCAGGGGGGGAACAGGGGCTCAGGGCTCTGCCCCCAGCTCGGCAAGATGTTGGTGGGATTCCAGTGGCTGTTGTACCCGCAGTGGCCTACCTCCCCGCTCTCCTCAGAAGCGAGGCCTGGGGCAGGGCTGCCGCCGTCAAGTCCAGCCGCTTACCGTGTGGCTTCCTCAGAATCCTCCTCCCTGTATGTCTGGCTGTGGGAGCTACCTTCCCAGACCCTTAGGAAGGGGGACGACCCTTCTGTCCTCCTCCCGGGTGACCTTTGGGCGGCACCAGGTGTGGCATGAGGTTACTGGAGACGAGCCGGAAGAACTTTCTGAGGGCAGGAGCGGGGCGTGTGAGTAAGGGAAGCAGCGGAGAGCTTCCAGCAGGAAGCACAGAGCTGCGTACTTCCTGTCAGGCTTCGCTGCCAGTGCCACCCGCAAACTGCGCCGCCGGCAGGAGGGGGCTGAGCGGAGACCGCAGGGCCTCAGGGCAGCTGGCACGGGATGAGGGCCCAGAGTACCCACAGTGAGAAGGCAGCACCAAGAGTGGAGCTGAAGGACCTTTCTGGAAGGGCAGAGACATAAAAGGGAAAACAAGGCCACACACAGCCTGGTTTACTGGCTCATCACACACACCGGATATGTACACAGACATAAATATTCCAATGTACAAATTTACACGGGACTTACAGATCACCCCTCGTCTCTGTCATCCAGCACCCGCCCCCCAACCTGCGCCCTATCCGTCCAGGCTCCGTTACAGGATGAAGGCTCGCAAGGGGCTGGCAGGAGGAGGTAGGAATCTGGAGGAGGGAGAGGTCCTGCTCCCCTCTCCTCACAGGCACCTCCAGAGGGTCCTGTCCCTTTGCAGTGGCACCGTGGGGCAGAGGGCTAAAATACCTCCACTCCCTCTCTGCTGCAGCTCGATTCCCAGACGCCGCCTCTGGTCCCTCGGTCTCTCTCATCCAGCTCTTCTCTGGTCTCACTCTTCCTGATTTCCTCTCCTCCTTCCTTTCTCTCTGTGCCTTGGCTCCAGTGCCTGTAGGGAGGAGGGGCCCCAGGCCACGGAGTCCTCTCGGCCCGCGTGCCCTCGTCCCGGGCCTCAGAGAAGGCTGGGGCTTCGGTGCAGCTCGGCAGAGGTGTTGGCGCCACTGGCCGGCTCTCTGCTCGGGGCAGGTGCCAGGCCGCAGCCCTCCCCAGGGCAGCCGTGCTGGATCAAGATGTCTGCGCACTCCTGGCTCCCGGCCCGACGGGCGTAGGCCAGGGGGGTCAGGCCGCGGGCGTCCCGGCTCCTCACGTCCACCCCATACTGCGGAAGGAAGCACGCTGTCACGGTGGGCGTGACGTGGCGAGGAAGGTATGGGTTCTTGGGGGGGCAGAGCGGAGACTGGGTAGGTCAGGGGGCCTTCGGGGGTGGGACCAGGAAGGCAAGGGCGGAGCCCACCACTCACCCAGATGAGCAGCTGGGTGAAGACAACGTTGGCCATGGCACTGGAGAGATGCAGAGCCGTCCGCCCATCCCCGTCGCCGTAGGTCTCGTTCACCTCCTCCTTGGACCCGTGGGCCAGAAGCATCACCAGCAGCCGCAGGTCGTCCTCCACCACGGCCCGGAGCAGCTGCTGCCCCAGCGGCACGTCCGAGCTCGGCAGCGGCGCCAGGAAGAGCTTCTGTTCGTACTTGGCCCGTATCCAGCGCTCCTTCTCCTCCCTGCAACCACAGGCCCACCGAGGCATGAGCCAAGGAGGGGCCTGCGCCAGGGGGCGGGGGCCGGCGAGGGTGCTCGGGAAGCGACGGCAGCCCCCCGGGAGGGGAACAGGCACTAACAGCGTAGGACGGAGCGGTGGGGAGACAGAGCCAGGGAACGGGCGGCCTGCGGACGGCGCACCGCGGGTACCGCGAAGGCTGAGGGAGAGGCCCCTCGGGGCCTGGGGGACGTCGGGGGCCGAGAGAGCAGGAAGATTCCAGGCAGGGCTCCCGTGGTCGCTTATCTGGACCTGCTGGAACAAAGGGGGTGGGGGGCCTACGCTAGGGGCCCACACACTATCCTATCTCCCACCCATTCTCCCCATCTCAGAGCGCGGGCCAGGGCCTTCGCGCCACAGAGCGATAGGGCCCTGCGCATGCGCCTCCTGCTGGCCCCTGACCTGCTGATAAGGCTCAGAAAGGGCCTCTTGTTGTGAGGAGCCTGAGTGACAGGCAGGGAGGGGGAGGGGCACCCCAAGGGGCCACTGCGGAGCAGAGCAACAGCTAGGTTTAACCCTTAGAGCACTGCGGCAGCCACCCCACACCATCCCGACCGTCCCCATTCCAGGCCGCCCCCTCGCCCCCTCACCTGCAGGCGTCGGGCCCAGGCTTCGCATAGCCGTCCAGGGCCCCCTCCCAGACACTGTTGGCCAGGGCATTGCCCATTGCAGTCATGACCGCTAGCAGCTCGGGTGGCCAGTCATCGAGGTCAAGGGAGCGGACCCGGGACAGGTGAGCCCCCAGGTGGCGATGGGTCCCTGAGCACTCAATGCACATCAGGGCGCCCAGGTTCAGGCTGGCCCAGTCTGGATCTAGGTGAGGAGAGGCACCATGAAGTCCAAGGGCAACCAGAATGATGCCACCAGGGAAGTCCTTCCCCCCTCACCCCGCTCCTCTTTCGTGGCCAACTGGAAGGCTCTCGTCAAGCCGCCCCGACCCCAGCCCCGCCGGCCTCCCTACTCACTGGGGGCGTCGCAGTCGATACAGAAGCTGTTGCCACGGACGGTGCGGACGGCCTGCACGGCCAGAGCTGCATTGTGGTTCCCCACGCGAGTCTGCGCAGCGGGAAGAGACCGGGTTGGGGGGGGGCGCTGGTCAGTCACAAGGCCACCTTGGGTCCCACCCCATCCGGGCCTCAGTGCCAACCTTGTCCTTGGCGCTGCGGCAGCCCTGCAGGCTGGCGAGGATCTGGGCCTGCACGCTCTGCACCCACAGCTCCCGCTCCTCCGCAGTGGAGGCCTCGAAGTGCCACGTCTGCCCAGTGAGTGACACCAGCACAAACTCGAAGGACTCCTCTGCCTCTGTGGGAACAGGGGTATTTGCCACCATCAGGGAGGGCGCCCCGCCGCGCACACAGCCGGGGACACACTGCCGCCACATCTCCATGCACTCCTGCCTTCCTGGCTCTCGCCCTTTCACCCACCCCAGCCTCCAAGGCCGTGCCCACGGGGCACCTTGCAGGGACGCAGAGCAGCCCTCAAACCCCTCTTCCTGACCACCTGTGGAGCCTCGGCGAAAACGGGTGCAAGGTTTTTGCATCCCTGGCTGGCGCTGCCAGGACCTGGTCTGCAACTCAGAGAAGGGCGCTTCCTGGAGAAGAGCTGAGTGTGTGGAGAAGGATGCGGTGGGGCGCTAGGAGGCAACGCCGGGAGGGGGGGCGAGTGTGGGCACCATCCGTACATGTCAGCTGCAGCCGCCTCATTTTGCAGCTCATTAAACCCAATATTCCTGACGGCGTCAGCGTGGGGCTCCTGGGAGCGGGGCCCCTCCCCCACGACCCTGGCGCAGGCAGGGAGGACGAGTGGGTGGGGAGGGGCGGCGAGGTTTCCCCCACAAACCGGGACGTGGGAGCGGAAGGGGCCTGAGGACGGCTGTGGGGACCAGCGCCAGCGGCCGGACCGCGGCCCCGAGCACCGTGGCGAAGCCGTTCCAAGCTCTGCTCCCCTCGGCCAACAGAAGACCGGACGTGCATCTCCTTCCCAGTGGCCACCACCCTGCGGGTGAACGGTTCCTGACAAGCACCGACAGTGACTGCCGCGGGGGCTGGGGAGATGACTGCGACACCTGCGGGAGGCCCACGGGGGAAGCAGGGGCCAGGGCCGCAGTTACAGGTTCTACCCCGGGCACCTCAGTGACACACGTTCCCGGAAGTCTTCCTGCTGGGCTCCTGCTCTCAGGGCACCTTTAACGGAAACTGCCTCCTAGCAAACGCTGGTGCCCCTTCCTTCCCCAGGCTCACCGGTCCGCCTCCCCTCGCTCTCAGCATAGCCTCCGAGCTACGCGAACTCGGTCGTCTGGGGCGCTCGGTTCCCTGGCACAGGTGGCTTCCGTGCCATCAGTGCTAAGCGGCACTAGCCCGCGGGCAGGCTGGGAAAAGCGGCTCTTTCCCATAGAGGTGATCCCCACCCACACCCCTGTCCTGCCAATCAGAGCGGAAGTGAGCCCGAGGCCGCAACAGAAGCTACGCCTCTCTGGGAGCAAGGGGACTCCAACCACTGAGGAGAGGAACGCTGAAGACACTTTGGAGAAAATCAGAGGAGTGCTATGACTAAGCCCAAAATATGAGAAAGGCCCCACGGGAAAATACTTGAGAAGCTGGAATTCCTTAGCCTACAGACGACTAAGGAGAGACTTCGCCAACTAAGACGCACGTATTAAGCACCAATTATATGCCCAGCACTCGTTAAGCTCCGTGGGTGATACAAGAGACACAGAAAACCTACGTCCTGCCCCGAGTCTTGGAAGAGCTATTGGAGCAGCCGCCTGCTGTCTTTACCTTCTATACGGAATAAAAGAGAAGCTCACATTTTAGCAGAAAGGGTTTAAATGAGGCAGGAGAACGAGCTTTTCTAAGATACGGGGTCTAGACGGCCACAAGAAGTTGTGGAACTATGGTTATGGCTAATCACTACTACAAAGTGCTTCCTCTAAAAATGGAAAACGTGGTGTTACTTTTAGGGTACTATCCCCGAATCCCACAGCCCACCTCCTGTGCCCCAGTTTCCCTCTAGGTCCCCCTAACCTTCAGCAGCACTGCTGGGGCCGTCTGGTCGGGGGGTCCCGGTGCTCTTTTTCCTCCGGTGCTTCTTCCGGTTGGAGTGGGGAGATGGGGGAGGCTCCAGCTTGGGGCTGGAACTGAGCACCTCAGCTGGGCCACTGGCTGGTGAGGGGAGAGTTGGAGAAGTGTGGGAGGAGGGAGGGGGGCGCAGAGCACAAGACCTGCCTGGCACCACTGGGGGCTCCACCCTGACTGCTGGCTGGGCCACCCTGCGAGAGCCCGGCCCGGCCCAACCCCACAGCGTCCCCAGCCTGGGAGGAGGAAGAGGGGAGGCGGAGAGAGAAGAGTGTGGGGAACTTGGGCAGAGCGGGATGAAGGCAGCGGCAGCCCCGGAGGGGTGGAAGGCGGCCCAGGGAACTCACAGGGAGCCGAAGCCCCAGCAGCTCCGCACCAAATTTATCCTCAATCACACTCCCCGCTCCTCACAATTAATAGCAGAATTAGAAACAATCAGGGAGCTGCCTAATTACTGTCAATTAGAGCGCGCTAATCAAGCTCCCGTCTCCCACACCCCGCCCGGCGCTCACCACTAAATGTCAAACTTCATTAGAGGCAGACACGCTCCCTCCCTCCCTGCCTTCCTCTCTCCAGACTCAACAGAGGGGCCCCACCAAGGCCAGCACGTCAGGACAGTGACTCTGGGACGCGCCCTCAGCTCCCCTTCTCCGTGGTCACTCCCCCCAGGGACGCTCGCACGTGGAGTAGGAGCCGAGGAGACTCCCTGTGCTGCGAGCACCCAGGTGCTTCCTGCGGTCAGAGCGCAGACGGGGGGGGGGGGGGGGGGGGGGGGGGGGGGGGGGGGGGGGGGGGGGGGGGGGGGGGTCAGTGCTCCCGGGGGACGGGGGCCTGTGAAGGGCCGCTGGGAGCCACAGCAGGGAAGGCTGGATGGGCCCAGCCTGAGGGGAAGGGGGAGGAGCAGGTTCGCCTGAGCTGCCACACCCCACACACCCCGCCAGCTGGCTTCTGAGGGCACGGGGAGCACCCTGGACTGTCCTCCTTCCCTCACACCCTTACCTAGGGGAGGGCAGCCCTGCGCGCATTTCTCTCTCAGTCTGCAGAGCTGCTGATCTGGGACTGAAGGGGCAGGATGTGGGTGAGAGTAAGGGGGGGGGGGTGCTCACTGAAGAGGCAGGGAGAAGAAACAAGGGGAAGAAGAGTGGAGATGTGAGCCAGGCACCAAAATGGACGAGAGGAGGAGAAAATGAAGGAACGTAAAGGGAGGGGGGGAAGGCAGGATTTCTGACCAGCCGGACAGGAGGGGCCCTCAGCGTATCTGGCGGGCAGCGCGGGTGGGGAAGCTATCCGGATCCCGGATCCTGTCTCTACGAACCCCCCTGCTCCGTGGTAGGAGAGCTGCCGCCTCCCAATGGTGTTTAAAGCCCCCAGCCCCCGACCTCCCTACTCAGCCTGTCCCCCCCGCGGTGAGGCTGATGAGCTGGCAGCGCAGGGGGCTGATGGGGATGCGGAGCAGGGAGCAGCACCAGCGCTGCCTGGGGCCGGCGGTGGCTGGGCCGAGAAGCTGCAGAGGGAAGGTCTGGGGGCGGCAAAGGGGTAAAGCGGCAGGAAGCGGCCTTTGGTGGCTGGAGAAGGGACAGAGCCGCCACTCGGCTCCTCAGACCACCCCGCACTGGCCCCCGGCGGGCTCTGCCGGGCCCCTCCCCGGGGCCCGCACACCATCCCGGCTCGGCCTCCCGGGCTGCGGCCGCCGCCGCCTGGCTGCCCTCCACCGGGTCGCTTAACCGGGGCCTGCGTACCTGGGGGCAGGGCCTCGCTCCACTGGTCGGCGCTGGAAACGGAGCAGGAGCGCTGGTGCAGCCCCTCGGGGCGAGGGCCAGCCCAGGCCGGGCTGCTGGCCGCGGAGGGGGCACCTGGGGGTGGGGGCAAGGGTCAGACCGGGAAGGGAGGCCCGGGAAGGGGTGCGCAGACTCCGGAAAATAGGGCTGCGGGCAAAACTTGCGAGATTCTAGCAGCGTATTGACCAGAACTGAGGGGTTTAGCAGGTACCGGGCCCGGCTCGCTGGGAGGCGCGGAGGCCTCGCCGGGGCCTCCACACCTGGGGAGGCAGCTGGCCCCGTTTCACACCCGTCTCCACGGAGAGCATGTCCACTCCCCACCCCCCCGCCCGCTTCCTGTAAGCTGGGGGAGGGGGGCACAGGTCCCCACACCTGTCACCACCGCGCTCCTCGCCTGCCCGTGTCCCCAGCCCCCTTCCCCTCCTGACCGCCCCCCCCCCCCTGCATTCTAGTCCACATGTGCCATTTGCTTTGCCTCAGCTTTGGTGCCATTCTGACGAGAAATAAGTGTATCAAATTCCAGTAATTATGTCTAATTAGTATTAGTAATTATCCTGTTGGGCTGGAGAAAATTAATCTTTCGTTTCCCATCAGGGAAGAACGGCGAGCCAAGGGGAGCCGGAGGCTCAGGAGTCCGAGGCCAGGGCGGCAGGGCCTCGTGTGCCCTCCCAGGCCGCGCCCGCCTCCCTGCGCGCGCGGTCCCTCCGAGGGGCGCCTCCGCCGCCCTCTCTCCTCAGGCCGCCTCAGCGCAATGGCGACGGAAGTGGGAGGGCAGGTGGACGGCGCGCGAGGTGCCCGAACTAAGGGCAGAGGTGGCGGAGCGCTGGAGGTTAGTGAGGAGGCGGAGACAGGGACCCGGTGGGGGAGCGGGCGGCTAAGTCGGGGCTCCCGCCTGGCCCGGGAACACACGGTGGAGTTTCTGGAAGCCTAGGGATGGGAAGCTCTGAGCTGAAGCCACTAGAAGGCACAGAAACAGGCGGGCCACCCCTCATGCCCTGGGGGCGGCACGACGGACGCTGCGAGGCGCAAGGCAAGTTCTGTGTTTCTCTTGTGTTTGTGACAACACCCGAGGCGCGACCCAGACACAGGAAGTGCTTATTAATACACGTGTGGTGCCAACACTCCCAGCCAGTCCGCCCCTCCCGGTCCCCTCGGCAAGATGCCGGTACTTCCGGTCCCTCCTCTCCACAAGCCCGCCCCTCCCACTCGGGCCTGACAGGTGCCTGCAAACTCGGCCTTTCTCGGGGGACCCTGGCTCCGCGGCACGGGACCCACCAGGGCCGCGCGCAGTTCCTAAATTCTGAGGCCTTGCTTCTCCCTACCCCCCTCCTGCTTCCATCCCGTGCCCCGCCCCCGCCGTTCCCAACCTCACCCCTGCCTCATGCCCAGCCCCACCCAAAGACATCAGAGGCCCAACTTCCTCCCCAAGCCCCCCAACTCCAAACCCCGAGGGAGGGAAAGTGCTTTCCCTTTTCTTTGTTAATTCTCCCCTCATTACGCCTGCAATCCCACAATCAGTGTGCACTGTAATTGTCGAATTTGATGCTAATGATTAATGAATTAAACATGGAGCCATCAATTAGTCCTCGGAGGATAATTCTGCATAAAGCAGCGGATAATGTAATTACAGTAACAAAGATAATGAGATGTTAACATCGCCCGGTGAGCGGGAGACATGTGTGAGTGTGCATGAGGTCGGTGTCAGCGCGCGGTGGAGGGGACACGGGCCTGGGTACGTGCCCCGTCCGCGTGTCCTGGGGACGCTGGTGAGTGTGTGCGGGCGCCGGGAGCCCTGCGGGTGCACCAGCTGCGCCTCTCCTGTCCGCGCGCCCCTCCCTCCAGTGAAGGCTGTCCGGGCCCAGGAACGCGAGGGTCTTACACGGTTTCCGTCCCCCTGGGGAAGCAGCCCGGCTTCTCCTCTTGCTCCCTGACTTCAAGGAAGGGCTCCCCCCTTCAGGGTCCTGATCCTTCCTCCTCCGCTGGTATGAAAGGAGAAACCCCCCGAAGCCAGAGGAGAGGCTGCCCTGCAACATGTGCGTGCAGCTGTGGCGAGCTCAGGGCCCTGGCGGATCCCCAGCCCTCCTCACCCCTGCATGCCAGCGGTCTCTCAGCAGCTCGGACTTCGCTCTCTGGGCAGAGCACGCGGCCCGCCATTTCTGCCATTCACCCCTCCCCCTAGCACACCCCTGCAGGGGGCTCTCAGCACCCCACCGCGATGGGTGTTCTCTTTTTCACCCACCCTTCTTCAGTCCACTAGAGCCCCCCCTCTGCACAAGTCAGGGGCTTCTCTCTGCGCTCAGCGTGGCTTGAATAAAACATGGCTTTTCGAGTCAGGCACACTTGGGTTCAAACCCCAGCTCTACCATTTACTGTGGGATTTTACAGACAAGCTTTTTAATCTCGCCAAGTCCTCCGTTTCCTCATCCATAAGATGGGGCCGACAACCTCCGCTTGGGAGAGCCGCGAAGCCGGGGCCTGACACCGTGGGGCTGCTGCACCCGCCACGGGTCGATCAGCCGGTGGCAGCCCCTCCAGCCCGGTCAGCGGCGCTGAACCCATGCCATGGGTCGGGGGTGCCAAGGGCCCACTTGCCTCAAACAAGGACACGCAGGGGGCCGTGGTCTGACCTTCTCTGAGCCCTGAGTTGCTCAGCGCAGGCCTATCAGCCCCAAGGGGGGCAGTTCTACGGGGTCGCTTCCGTCCATTCCAGGGCCTTAGCACCCAGCCCTCCATCCACAGAATGCCCGCAGCGGCCTACTGCTGCGATGCAGAAGCACCCCCCCCCCCCCCGGGGACCAGCACACCTGTGCTGCTAAGAGCTATCCCCCGGGGCAGGGACACCGCGACAGCAACCGGGAGAGTGTCACGAGCAGCTGGTTCTGGGTCGAGGACCAGGAGATCCAATCATCTAGCACAACGGCAGGGCCCAGAGGCCAAGGCAGATCTGGGGCAAAGAGACTCGGAGTGGGCAGGACAGCAACGTGGCTTAGGAGCCACAGAACCCGGAGGCAGAAAGAGCCGGGGACAGAAGGGAACGTAAGCGTCATTCACCCGAACTCAGGGTATCGTCTGGAAAGGTAAGGACCGGCCACGGAAAAGCGGCCACGCCCCGAGCCCTGCACTCTCAGACTCTCACTCTTCCCTCCTGCACCGCCGGACACGCGCCGGAGCTGGCGTGGCTTCCGGCTTCCCTCTAAACTCCATCCTCTCCGAGCAAAGACCCAACCTCTCACCGCAGCCCTGCGCACGTTTGCCAGGGGCACCCCAGGGAGCTCTGCCCCCCTTCCACATCCCTCCCCCCCCCCACGGCCCACACTAGAGGCCCCGCCATCGCCCACCTCGGCTCCAGATGGGGGCAAATGGGCCCAGGACCCCTGACGGCACCTGTCACCGGGAGGCTGTGCGGCCCTATCCGTCTCCAGACCACCTGCTGGGCCCTATGTCGGCTGAGGACCCAGGCTGAGAAAGAGTGAGACCCCACGGCCGCCTACCTTTTCAGGCCTCCACTGCCCACTCTCCGCTCTTCTAGAGAAAGGAAGCGATGCTCTCCATATGCCCCCCCCCCTACCTTAGCAGCCACCTCACCTGTGCCCCCGCCCAGCTGCGTGTTACTCCGCTCCAAGGCCAGCCCGTTGGCCCGGGGGCTGGTGCCCGGGGCTGTGGTAGGTGTGGCTCGGGGCAGCCGCTTTCCAGGCACCTTCACTGTCGTCCGCAGCAGGTCGATCTCCTTGCCGTGGACGTTCTGCATGTAATCCTAAGGGCCACGTGGATAAAACAGACGAAGATTCATTAGGACAGCTCACTCCTCGGCCACACTTGGGCTCTGACGCTGACCCGCCGATTCCGAGGTCTCGCCCCCTGTGCAGCAGGAGAGAGGAGAAAGCCCTCGTTTCAAAAGCCCAACTTCTGGACGGAGGTAGAATTTGGGAAGAGAAGGCCAATGGCCAGGAAAGGAAGTGACAAAATCCCTGGGACCACAGGCGACTGGGCTTCCCCAAGCTCTGGGTGGCTAGCCACTGACTCCTTCGGCCCTGTTTCCAGAAGCTTCCACCTCCACTGGGGCACAGGGAACTTTCAAAGCCTAGAACTCACTTTCAAAGTTCTCACTCCTTACAACAGCGTCTGACAAACGTTTTTGAACAGTCAAAACGAAGCCTTTGAGTCTTTCTGGCGTCCTTAGGAATGCAGGTAAGTCCACATCCTCACAGATCCCAGCGAAATAACAATAACCATTATGTCACCACCTCACCTGCGCGCACACGGGTCAGCTGTCCCCTGCACTCTGTGACACAGGAGGCGGGGCTGCCAGGGCCTCTTTACAGCGGAAGAAACGGAGGCTCACTGAGGTCAATCTGCCCAAGGTCACATGATCAGAAGGTGGCCGAATGGGGACTCAAGCCCGTCAAGCCCAGCCCTTGAGGATTCCCAAGGCAGAGCCCCGAGGGCGGCCTTCCGCAGCCCAGCAACAGCCAACTTCAAGTCAGCACCCAAAGGCCCAGAAGTGGCGTGGGGAGCGACCCGGAGAGTGCGAGCCACTCCACCCCCACCCGTTCCCGCCATTTCGCCACTGGCCTAAGAGTCCCATGGTGGAGCCGCAACATGGGGGCCACAGAGCAGAGCCCAGCCCCTGGCCCCTAGCTTCCTGCCTTACCCTCGAGCCTAGCCAGGGCCCCAGCTCCCCCAACCGCTTCTGGTCTCTCCTTCCATATGCCTGACTCCCATTTCCTCACCGCCGTCACCGGCAAGGCAAGTTCCTCAGCAGGTCCCAGCTAACGTCCCTGGTAAAATGTGGCAAAAAAACACCTTTCAGGGAGCAGCGTCAGGCGGGGGGTGCCAGCTGGAGCTTTGATGGAATCCCACCGATTCGACTCCGACGCGCTCTTCCCCCTCAGGAGCACCCTGGGGGGTTCTGTGCACACAGCTTCCCTGAGACACGGTCCCGGGGAGGTTACAGCCACCAGCTCTCGTACCTTCACCCGCTCTGGGATGTTGGCCTTTGCACCACCCGGCAGCTCCCCTGCCTTCTCACCCTTTAGCTTCAGGGAAAAGGGACCGAGTCCTGTGTTTTAAAGAGCAGGAGGGGGGCGCCTGGGTGGCTTAGTGGGTTAAGCATCTGACTTTTGCTTGGGTCATGACCTCGCGGTTCGTCGGGCTCTGTGCTGACTGCCAGCTCAGAGCCTGGAGCCTGTTTCAGTCTGTGACTCCCTCTCTCTCTGACCCTCCCCTGCTCACGCTGTCTCTCTCTCTCTCTCTTAGAAATAAATAAAAAACATTAAAAAAAATATAATAAAGAGCGGGGGGGGGCGCCTGGGTGGCTTAGTCGGTTAAGCATCCGACTTTCGCTTAGGTCATGATCTCGCGGTTCATGGGTTTGAGCCCCGTGTCGGGCTCTGTGCTGACTGCCAGCTCAGAGCCTGGAGCCTGTTTCAGAGTCTGTGACTCCCTCTCTCTCTCTGACCCTCCCCTGCTCACACTGTCTCTCTCTCTCTCTCCTAGAAATAAAAATATTAAAAAAAAAATAAAAAATAAAGAGCAGGAGGGGAAGACCACCCTTGGGGAAGCAAGGGAAAGGCAGGGGCGACCAGGGGCTCAGAGCTGCCCTCCCCCCTGCAGCTTTGGGAATGACCATGAGGAGGTCGAGTAGAAAGCGGTCACCTGGCCCCAAGGAGCCAAGAGAATGTGTGGGTTTCCAGTTAGGAAGAGGAGCAAGAACAAGGAAAGGGCGCCCCATGCCAGGCTCCCTCCTCAGGCTGCACCTAACCTCCGAGCTGGGTCAACAGGGGAGGGGACTCGTGAGAGAGCCACTGAGGCAAGCACGGTAGCGTCACCAGCTGCGGGGAGGCCTGGCCAGGCCTGGCGCTGTCTTCTATTCTCCATGAGGCCAGGCCACCTTCACAGCCCTTCTTCAGAAGGACAGAGGAGGAGCAGCCCCCACCCCCGTGCGGCCAGCGAGGAGCTCCCTTCCACGTGGCCTTGGGCTGTGTGCGTGCCCTCCGGCCACCACCCAGTCCCCCGTGAGGAGCAGCGCCAGGTGCCCGGCTTCCAGCACGCCCTGCTTCACGCCTCAGAACCACAGGGCGACACCAGAGAAGTCAGGAGGAGCAGTGGGCGGAGCCTGGTGACAACCCCTCACCCCCAGGGTTCTCCGTCCCCAGCGCTGAGCCACGCCACAGCGGCTGAGAGAGAAACAAACCCAGGAGCCCCTTGTCTGCCCGCTGCCCTGCGTCCCCTCTACACGTCCATCCTCCAGCCTTGCGCTCAGCCCAGCACCAGCCAGTCTCAAGCCCTCCTTAGTCGGAGCCCAACGTCCCGAGGACTCGGCTACCACATGCGCCCATCCCAGGTCCCTGCACAGAGTCCCCCACCTCGGATCTGCTGCTCCAGACAACTGTCAACAGCTGGCTGGGCCGAAGGCGCAGCTGCGATCCCCCTCTTGGGGGGAGGGGCGCGGGCTGCTCTAGTTCACAAGGAGGTCACGGCAGCTGCAACAGTTTTCAGGCCCCACGACAGCCCTGGGATGCCCAGGCCGGGACACGGCACACGCGGACGCCACACCAGGACAGAAGCTGCACAGAGAGACTCCATCCTGGGCCGAGGGGCCCGAGACAGACCTAAGGGGCCTGCCCCCGCCCCCTGGGATCCCTGGCCACACCCTCGCGCTCGCCCCGGGCCCCGGGCCAGGCTGGCCCCAGGACCGCGCCGGGAGACGGCGCCCGGCCCAAGGACAGTGTGGTGAGGAGCACGAGGAGCAGCAGGGACGGGGACACGAGGGGCCGAGCGACGGCGTTTCCCTCCGTCAGCAGAACGGGGAGCTCGGCGGTGGCGGTGGCAGCGGCTGCTCAGGAGAGCGGTCACCACGGCTGCCTTTATTACCCACCATCAAACAGCAATTTCTTCCCCAGCCTCCTCGCTAATTACCCAGCCAGCGTTCTCATCTCGTTTTATTACTGGAATTAACAACGAGTTCAGAGCGTGGAAAGCTATTAAGATGTGTGATTAAGCCACATTCAATTAGTTTCTACAAACAATTTAATTGATGTTGCAGATAGAATTAACAGAAGGTGATTGTGTGAATGGCTCCGCTGGCTGCAAAATGGGGGAGGCTGTGGCGGGCTCTCTTGGGCCAGGCAAGGATCGGGCGTGAGGCTCGAGGCCTGCCCGCCGGCCCTTCCTCCGCTCGCCCACCCGGTCTCTGCGGCCCTGCTGGCCTCCAGCGACAGGCAAGTCGCCGGCACGGCCGCCCTGCGGTCCCAGGCAGGAGCCGTCCCTGAGACGGCAGCCGACTAGGCCAGAAGTAGCCCGCGGACCTCTGGGGTGACGGGGAGGCCCCTCGGCCACACGGCGCCCCAACAGGAGGGAACCTCCGGGGAGACCGGCCGCCCCCCAAGCTGGGATGGTGGCTCCTTGCGGCGGTCAGCTGAGAAGCTTGCTCAGGTCTGCAAACACGGCAAAGCGGTGAAAGAGGCAGGATGCCAGCGACACTTGAGAGCCACCACCAAGGAAGGAGATCAAGCAGCGAGGGTGGGGGGTGACGGAACAAGCAGCCTTTGCTGGGAGGAAGCATGAACCCTGTTCATGCAGCAGCATGATTGACCCCCCATTCAGTCTTCACTCCGGCTTGCATTTTGAACCTGATTCGCATCTTCCGAATGAGCAAAAGCAGCGCCCACAGGCCAGTCCCCCGTGGCTGCTGGCGCAGGAGGGAGACACAGGTTTGGATCCCTGAGCCGGTGAAGGAAGAGCTGACCCGGAGCCCGCGCTCTCAGGAGCCTTTCGCGCAACCTCTGCACGAGGTCCTATGGCCCAGCGACCAAGAGGCCAGCAGGGCCTCCTGCCTCGGAGACTCACCCTGCGGGCAAGCAAGGACAGGCCCGGGTGCCCCTACGTCCCAGGCGCCTGAACACACCAAGGGGCACATCGTTCAACAAGTGAGGCACCTGAAGGGACTGTGAGGAGCTCAGACACCCAGCCTGGCAGTTCCCGCCAGCCTTCCTGACGACAGTCTAGGCGACGGCTGCCCAGGTGCGAACTGTCTGGCATGTTCTCAGCAAGCCCTGAAGAGAGGTGCTCTCGGCCCGTGCAGACAGCTCTGGGTAACGCTCAGAGTCAGGGTCACGGGGCCGAGCATTAGCTCCACTGGTGGCTGGGTGACTGTCCGGCCGGCCCCACCGCGCTCCTGCTCTCCGGTCTGCTTCACCTTCCCGCCTAAAGCCAAACCCCACACAACACCCCACGCGTTCCTGTGTGTCCTGAGACCCCTCTACGGTCCCCCTCCTCCCCTCTGGGCTTCCTGCTACCGGAGGCATGGGGACAGGCAAAGCGGACAGACCCAGCTAGGGCGGCATGGAAGGGCAGGTAAGGATGCAGAGCAAGGGGGGGGGGGGGGCAAAGGCCACGCCCACATGGGCGGGGGAAGCTGGGATGCTTGGAGAGGCTACTTCCCAGCGAGTCCCTCCTGCCTGGGGGCCGGGCTGAAAATACAACCAGCTGGGAGTTAAGAGGCGCCAGGCATGGGCGTGGACTGGGCATGGCGGCCCCTCTCGGCTGGGAAATGCTGTGGCTCCGCTGTCTCTCTGCTACAGAGGCCCTGGACCTGCAGGATGCCCTTGTCCTAAGACACCTGTGTCCTGCTGCCTCTCACGGACTCAGCAGCAGGGCTGGGTGTGCGTATGAGGCGGCCTCTGGAGTAGGGAAGGGGGTGGTGCCTCGAAGCCTCTGTACTGAGTCCCCAAAGTGTGGCCCCTCCTCAACCCTCCAGTCTCCTGACTCCAGCTCCCACCCTGTGGAGGACGAGACACTAGGAGGAAACAGGCTAAGTTGTGGGGTCCCCTGCGTTCAGGGGACCAGTTCGTGCCCGAGCAATCAGACATGGAGAAACCCGGGAGGGCGAGGCTGGGCTCCGGCCCGACGGGATGCACACCGCCCGCCCTTCCCACGCCAGGCCTGCGTGCGTTTTCGCAGCAGGGCCGTCCGGGCGGTGCCCGCAGGACCTGGAACTGCGGACCCCGGCACCTCGTGGGTCGGGCCTCCCGGTCCGGAGGCAGGCCCTGGGCTTCGGGGCCGGGGGCGGGGCCGGCCCACGTGCTGTGCTCGAGGGCCTTCACGGGAGAACTCATTAGCCCCGCAGTGGGGCGGTGACAGAGATGGATTCTGGTGACAGCTGTGTGCTGGAGCCACGCAGCGAGGGTGGGGGGAGGCAGGCAGGGTGGGAGAGCTGCCACAGGGGCCACTCTACTGTCACCGCACCCCCCAGCCCCCTGGGGCACAGGCCACACACCCTCCAGACCCCTCCACCCGCCGTCACCGCCACCCCCATGCTCCCCTTCCCGGGAGGACCCTGCCACTCCCTGCAGCCCCCACATGACTGCCCCCCCCAGCTCTCCATCATCGCAGGCCCAGGAACCCAGGGATTCCCACTCATGTGGGTCCCCAAGAGACAATGGCTGGTGACACCGGCACCCCCAGCTTGAGCGATCCCAGGTACACAGGGCCCAGTCAGGCTCTTTAAACAAGCAGGGGGCAGGATGTGGGCCCTAACGCACGTGGCAGCCTCGCCTAGAGGCAGCCATCCCTGGGGTTGGGGGGCGGGGGGGGGAGTCTTCTCCCAACGGTGCAGCCACAACTCAGACTTTAGGATGAAGGGCTCAGCCCGGGCCTGGGTCAAACAGTAGGTGTGGTTCCCAAGCCCCCAAAGCGAGGCTCTTTCTGAAGGGCAGGTCTGCTTCCCTTCAGTCCCGGGGTCGGCCACCCCCTCCACTCGCGTGACTCTTCCTCGCCGGCTCCCCCCCCCGCCCCCCTGCTCTCCCCCAGACTCACGTGCAGACTCGGGTGGTAGGTGAGCAGCCCGTTGTCACAGAGCGTCACGTACTTCTTCTTCCACTCCTTGTTCAGGGACTTGCCACTCCGCTTCAGCAGGATGCCCTGAGGACAGAGGCCGGGTCAGAGGCCGGTGCCGGCCCTGCACGTCGCGGGCCCAGAGGAGGTCACGGTGACACGAGGGAACACCGTCCTCCGTCGCCTGTCCTCCTGGGCCACTGTGCTCTTCTGAGCAGAGAGGCTGTGAAGGACCAGTGCTGACCCGGGGAGAGCCAGTTAGCCAGGCTCTTCCGCGGAACTCGGCTCTCCCTACTCGGCTCTCCCTGACCGTCCAACAGGCCACCCCTCGCCCCCCCCACCCGGAGTCGTGGGGCCAGGTCAGCAGGAGGCAGGGTTTCAGATGGCCTCCTGGCAGTGATGCTCCTGCCTGTGTGTCTCCAGGGCTGGGTGAATAGGGCCGAAGTCCCCTAACCATCCCCAGAATGTTCCAGACTCCCCCAAGGCAGGCAGGGCACAGCCATAGAGCTCAGCGGACGGATTCGAGCTCCAGGAGAGCAAGGAAGTCCGTGTGTTTTGTTCGCGGACACACCCTCAGCACCATGACAGTGCCTGGGACACAGCCGATGCTCAGCACACGTCTGGTGGGTGGGTGGGGAGAAGGCGCAGAGAGCGCGGCCGCCAGAGATGCTGACGGGGAAGGGGCCCACGGCGAGGGGGCCCGCACAGAACACCCAGGACGGCCTTCCCCTTCCCCTGGGGGGGCCCCGGAGTGTCCCAGACAAAACTCCAAGGGGAGAGCCACACAGGAGGGGCTCAAGCCTCACACAGGGGGGTCAGGACCAGCACCGGCCGAGGAGAGAGCAAGGGAAGCACCCGGAGCCCACTGCCGCCTGCATCAGAAAGGAGGAGCTCAGAGATGTGGCCTTGATGGCAAGGCCTTCTCCCCAGGAATGGAGGGCCCTACTCTGGACAAGCAGGAGAACCAGGATTAAGAGATTCAAGCGAGGTGACACCTGGGTGGCTCAGTGAGTTAAGCATCGACTCTCGATCTCTGCTCAGGTCATGATCTCCGTGATCATGGTTGGTGAGTTCAAGGCCCACGTCGGGCTCTGTGCTGACCACAGAGAGCCTGCTTGGCATATTCTCTTTCTCCCTCTCTCTGTTCCTCCCCTGCTCATGCTCGCTCTCTCGTGCTCTCGCTCTCTCTCTCACACACACACACACAAATATTTAAAAAAAGAAAAAAAAGAGGGATTCAAGTGTGAGGAAACAGTATCCTATGGTCCTGCAGCCCAAAAGTGGAAGGTAAACCCCAATTCTCTCACGCCCCCTCTCTAAGCGCTTCCGAAAAGCAGGCTCAGGCCTAAGGGGAGGATTAGCCAACAGGTGATTGGAGTTTCCTGCCCGATCTCCTCACCAGGGACCAAGATGGAGCCGAGAAAGTCTCCCACCTTCCGACACACCCCCACCAGCACTCCCTCCTTTTCTAGCTCCTTCTCCCCGCCGCCCCCAAAAGGCAGATGCCATTGCGGGAGATTAAGTTGAGAGTCCGGGGCCATCTGAGGACACGCTCCACTACCTGGTCCCCCTCAGCACCAGACACCTATCCTCACACGGAGCATCTGAAGACGAATGGTATTAATGGGACCTTCCCTAAACTGGGTGGCTGGAACATTCCGGAAGGCAGGCCCCTGCCCAGCCGTCCGTGAAGGAGCCTCAGTGACCTGCTTCTGGGCATGGCATCTGCCCCATCACAGGCCAGGAACAAGGCAACGGTAGGCGGCTCTGTGAGAACCTGGACAAGGCAGCGCCCGGTGTCCCCTGTGCCCTCAGGAAGCGCGGGGACGATGGCGGCTCACCTGCCCCTCCGCTCTCCCGTTTCCACACCTCCTCGGCCTTCGGCGGGACAGTCCACGCCAGCCTCTGCTCTCACATCCTCCCAGCCCCAGCCCCGGCCCCCCTCGCCTGACCCTTCATCTCCACCAGGGCCGAGCCCTTCCCTCCTGGGTCCGGGCCCAGCTCCGGGTCGGGTCGAGGGAAAGGGAATCCAGCCTCCGCTCCGCTTTCTGCCACTGACTAGCCCCTAACATCCAACAAGCCACGTGACTGCCTGAGCCTCGGTTTCCACAGACAGACAGGGAGAGCAGACTCACATATGGAGGTTTCCTCCCTCTTCCAAGCACGGAATCAGGCCTCAGGATGCCAAGGAGGGAAGCCCTTTTCTACCCAGAACTCTCTCCCCTCCTTCACCTGGGCCTCGGTCAGGGAGGAAGCCGGGAGCCACAGACCAGCGCTAATGAGCTCGGTGAGCAACTTGCCGGCAGGGGTGTGGGAGGAGTGCCCGGCTTGATGGAGAAAAGCTGGCCAGGGACTCAACCTGCCACCCACTCGTGCCTCCAGCCCGCCTCTCACCTGCCAGCCGCGGACCGGGCGGCCAAGGCTGGGCTAGCTGGGGGCCTGTCTAGCAGGCGCCTCCGTCCTTCCGAGGGTAGGGAGACGAGCTACAGGGGTCCCTGCTCCCCTCCCTGGCCGGCCGGCTGTGCACGGCGGAGCAGGAAGCAATCTGGGGCGGAATGGGAGCGGTGCGGAGGAGGCGACAGCCCCAGAGGACCCGTTCCGCCGCCGCCTCCCTCCCAGCTCCGCCAGCCGGCTTAATTGCGGAGTCCGGATTGATTGGGAATGCAAATGGCAACTGAAATGCAATCTCCACTCCCAGCAGGAGTGGGGGGGGAGGAGGAGGAAGGATCGGAGTGGGGAGGAAGGGACCTGAGGGCGGGGAAGGGGCCAGACTGGCCCTGGGGCAGCCGGGGGTTGGGGGAAATCACGAGGATGGGCCCCGGGGGCTGGGAAAACCAGAGTAGGGACCCCCCACCTCAGCGCAGGCACACCCCAACCTCCCAGGGAGATCCGCCCACCTTGGAAGCGGCACTCACATCCAGTCCTGCAGGGGATCCCTGAGGCTTGGTGGCCTGTATCAGCCAAGTGGCCTAGCGCCCAACCCCCAGGGCTGGGTCAGAACCCCAGGTGCAAGTTCACAGGGCCTCACCCCCAGCCCCCAGTTCTCCCCTCCCTCCCTGTGGGGGATTCAGGGAACAGATACATGAGTCCATGCCCCAAACGGGACGGAGGCATTTGGGGCCACATTCATCTCAGAGCAAAGGCCCTGGAGAAAGTGTTCTCTTGTATTTATTCGACGTTTGTGTGTGCGCCTACACGCTCTCAGAACACACCTGTCCCCGCAGCAGACACACACACACAGACACGTCTCTCTCTCGGCCACTCTACCTGGCCTCCCGGGAGGTGACCCCCCCCCAGAGTGGCCTCTGCCAGGCCTCAGTGTGACGCTATTTCAGGTGGCGGCAGATGCAGTACAGGGACACGGAGCGAGCGTAGTTCACCTGGCTTCTGGGGACCCTGACACTTCCTGGTTCTCCGTTCGAAACACACCTTCACCGCAGAGTCAGAATCTCACTTTACGCAGGAATTCTGGTCAGACTGCCCATGGGCCCCAGAAGGCCCAGCCTGGAGGACTAACCTGACCCCAGGGCCCGGGCCTGGCCAAGCTCTGGTGGCCTGGCCACACGGTTCTCCTCTGCGGTCAAAACCTGACACACAACACGGCCCCTGTAGACATGGCACGTCTAACCGCCAGCTCCCAAGATCTGCGCCGGGCCCAGCATCCTGTGGGTCCAGCACATCAGCCACCAAGCCACCGCCGCCAGCCTCGTGGGCACCCCAGCCGGCAGGCTTCTGCCCGAGCTCCAGACACAGACGCCTCCTCGCTTCACCCCCATCCAGCCCAGCAGCTCAACAGCCCTGCTCAGCACACCGCCGTCTGCGCACAAGGACGCCCTCCATCCTTCAAGGTCTTTTTCCAGCACCGGGTCCCACTCCGGGGGCCTCTGGTGGCCCTGCCAGGAGGAGACTCAGAAAAGAGGGGGCCGGGAGGGGGCAGCCCAACCCGGCCTTTCCTTCACCAGAGAACAGAGGCTCGTGTGGACAAAACTGCAGTGAACCCAGGGTAGGACCAGCCCACGGGGTGCTCTTTTGTGAATTCCTTTTCTGGGACCGGGAGAGGCAGGCCAGGTCACCCAGCTCCAGAAGCGCCAGCCCGTGGGCAAGCCGCGGAGGGCGGCAGGTGGCTCTCTGCTGCCCCCCGGTGGTGGTGAGGAGGACGCGGCAGAGCCCGGGGCGGGGCCAGGTGGCCTCTCTTCCCAAAGGTCTGCCCTCAGCAGGAGATCCTTAAGGATTCGGGCCTGGGAGGGGGGAGTGCCGGCCTTACACCACCCCCAGCGCTTCCTGGGCCTCACCCCTCACCTCCACCGCTCTCCGGCCACTCGGGGGAGGGACCGCTGACCTGTTTGATGGGGATGGCCCGACCACTCCCGATGCTGTCCACCTTGCAGTCGGCGGCTTTCTTCTCCCTGTCCAAGTCGGCACCCTTTCGAGACTGAAAGAGAAAAGAAGAGGCGTGTTAGAGAGGCGCGGGGCCCCTGGGGGGGACAGCTGCCCACCTGGTCCCCTCCCCCCCGCCCGCCCCGCCTCCCTCCTCCTGGGCAGGCCCTAGCGGTGGGGCAGGGCCGGGGCGGCGGGACCGGGAAGGAACTGAGACCACGAGTATTCCAACGGGTTTATTCTTACACACGGCACCATACAGAGCAGCACAGGTCACTGAGCCAGGCCCGCCCCTTACAAAAGAGCAAGGACACGAAATACCGAGGGCGCAAGGAGCGCGCAGCCCAGGGGGCTGGGGCGTAAGAGAAGGGAAGGGGCGAGGAGAGGTGGACGGTGCGGCTGAGGGACGGCTGGGAGCACGGGGCACGAGAACTGGGGGAGCCAAGTCCAGAAGTGAGCGGGCAGCGGCCCATCTGCGGCACCGACGCCACGCGGCACACGCCGCACCGGGCGCGCACCGGGCGCGGTCGGCGAGGCCCGGGGGGCACAGTGGATGGAGAGAGAGAGGAGAGAGGCCAAAGGAGGCCCTGTGCCCCCTGCCAGGCTCCTGGGGCAGAGCCCGCCCCAATGCGGATCCTAGGAAACGGGGAGGCCAAGAAGGGGAAAGGCAAGCGCGCGGCGTGGCTGTGGCATCCGGAGCGGAGCAGAACGGCAGGAGTCCATGCAGGAAGGAGCAGAGGAGGGAGGGGCGGGAAAGCTCCCCCCCAGGAGCAGCTGGGCCGGGGCGGGCGCTCGGACGCCCCCGCCCCTCTGGGCCTTGTTGCGCTGGCCCGGCGCCGGGCGTGGGGCCGAGCTCCCTTCTTCTCCATGCAGCGAGCCTGGCGCAGCGCGTCCAGCCGGGCCGGGTCCCCGGCAGCCCCCAGCCGCGGGCTCCAGCGCTCCTAGCCTTCCCTGGGGGTGGGGTTAGTTACAAAGGATCCTGTGGGTCTCTGGAGTGGGGAGCACGGCGGCCGCTTCTCATCTGAGAGCAGTCCCAAGGCCCGGCCCGCCTCCGGCCCCGCACAGGGGAGAATGTCCAGAGGTGCTGTGTGTCACCACCTGGTCTTCTAATTTGGAAGGAGTTGGAAAGGCCTTTTTGTTGATGAAAAGTTGGAAACAGTGGCACATATCTGCAAATATCGAAAGAATAAAGATTTTGGCAAGTTATACTCAAGCCCCGCACGAGTCGGTCAGCACTGGTGAGGGCGGAGACCCAGGTGCCTGGGGAGAGGAGGCAGCGGGATGAAGAGGAGGAGGAGGAGGAGGAGGAGCGGGAGGAGCAGGCGGCGGCGGCGGCGGCGGAGGCCGCTGGGCAGTCCATCTCATCAGGGAGTGTTCGCCACCGGGCAGCCGGGGCCCCCCTGGCCCTCCTGTTGCCCCGGGCTGCCAGGAGCCGAGGGCCCAGGGCACAGGACTGCAAGTGCAGCGCGGGGGGCAGGGGGTACCACCGAGGGAGCAGAAAGAACCGGGCCAGAGGCTGCTGCCCGCAGCTCCGCCGTCAGCACCTGCCCCGGGCGTCTCCCGGGCGCCACGGCCTCTGCCCCTTCAGCCCAGGGAGGAGGAAGGTGGATGGGGATCGCCGCCACTGGGTCCCCGGACCAAAGAGCCGGTTGGGGCAGGGAGGAGGCGGGCGGGTACACCCGGCCCCAGCCAGGCTGGTGAGCCAGGAGGCCCCCCCAGCCAGCATAGGTTCCCCGGGAGCCCCGAGGGGCAGCCCCTCCCCCCAGGACGGGAGCTGGGGCAAGAATGGCAACAGAATGAGCACATGAAGTCATGGGGGAGACTGGGGACGTCAACGGCCACATCGGGGGTGGGTCACAAGGACACCAGGCCGCAGAGCAGGCCGTGGCTCTGCTGGGGGCAGGACGATAGGGGCGAGGGGGTGGCCCCAACAGCGACGATGAGAGACAGGGAGGTCCCGAGCCGGGCTCCTGGAGACGGACATGTCTCGAGGCCTCCTCGTGGACAATGGCGCAAGTGAGGTCACCATGGAAACAATGGAAAGAGAAACTGAGGTCGCCACAGTGAAGATGGAGAGGATGAGAGGGCCCGAGGGAAGGCCGGGCCGTGGGCGCGCACGGTGGGGGGGGCAGCAGGCGGGGGCAGCACAGCGGAGCAGGCAGCGGAGAGCACGGGCGGGGGGGGCGCGTGGGGGGGAGGCTGGGCGCGGGCGGCAGACGGAGGGGGGCGGAGGGAGGAGAGCGTGCCCCGGGGGTGGCCGGCCTGGCAGCGCAGGAAGTGGGAGGTTCGGAATGGTGCTGAGGGAGCGGGTGACTGGAGCAGAATGTCACACAGCAGATGCCAGGGGCGCAGACGGCGGTCACTGCAAACACAGGTACCCGAGGGCTCTACGGCAGCGGCAGTGGCAGCGGCGGGCGCGGGCACAAGCAGGCAGCCCGGGGCTCTGTGCGTCTCAATGGGCATGAACGGAAACAAGAAGCTTCAGGTCGAGGCGGGGGTTGGGGCTGGGGAAGGGCCATGCAGCGGCAGGTGTCAGCAGAGAGGGTCGGTCAGCATGGACGGGGGGTGGGGGGGCCGCGTGGCAAGCACAGGGGTGGACGGACGTGGGCACACCGGGGGCGGCAGCGTGCCGTGCAGGCGGAGGCGAGGATGGATGAACAAGGCCTGGGGGGCACTGGCTCTGTATGGGCGGGGCCCGCGGGGCCAGCCGGACACAGGACCGGGCTGGGAGCCAAGCCCTGATGCTCCAAAAGAGGCGCACGGACTGACGCGGAAGTACAGAGCGTTCTGAAAATCCACACGGGCCGCTCACCCACCTGTGTCTGACCCAAGACTCCCAGAATGGCCTCGCCCAGTCCCAGCTGGAGGGGGGGGCGTGGAGGGAGCACTGTGACTCAGAGGCGGGGGGTGCCTAAGAGCAGAGGGGCTGGGCCCCTGGCAGTGGAAAGCCCATGGGGGCCCCGACGTGAGTTCTGTGAGCACGGGAGCCCGGGTGAGGGCGGAGGCGGGGAGGGGAGGCAGAGGCCAGTAATCAGGAGACAAGGCCTAGGGAACAGCTGTCTGAGCCTCTGGGTGGACCATTTGCAGCCTGGGCGGGAAGCGTAAGGTCACGGAAAATACCGAACGCGGACAAGGAGGCCCAAACCCCAGCTCTAGCTCCGCCAGCTAACCCTCCGTGCAGCCTCGGGCCAGAAACTCTGGGGGCTCGGTTCACAGCTGTGGAATCAAGAGCGTCAGGGGGCAGGGGGAGTCAGGACAGACTTGTCCGAAGATCCTTCTTGCTAAGCTGGCCCGGAAGACCTAAGGCTCAGGGGGAGGGGGTGAGTGTATGCGACGGGGGCAGGACAGTACGTGTGGGAAGTCCCTCGTGGGCACGGAAGAACAGTCCGGAAGAGTCTGGACGTGTGCGAGGGCCCTGGCAAGGAGCCCACGGAAGCTGCGTGCGTCTGTCTGGGTGGATGGAGAGCCTGCGGGTGCGTCCTGACTCCGGCTGCCCCGGCGGCCGAGCCGTCTGTGGCTCCGGCCTGCCCCCTCCGGGCTGGGGGCTGGGGCCTGCCTACCGGACGGCGGCGGCCGGGCAGGTGCGAGGGCAGAGCTCGGGGCACATACCGTGAAGATGTTGGAGCGCCGCTTGGACTGCTTGCGGACGGGTGTGGGGGTGGAGGAGGCCGCCACGGTCTCGATGCGCAGCTCCCGCTGGCTGACGCTGGGGGTGGAGGGGACTGAGGAGGAGTAGTCGCTGAAGGCGCTGCTGCCGCCATTCGTGGCCTAAGGACAGAGAGGGCTGCTGATGGCTGCTCTGGGGTGAGGGGCAGGGGCAGGCGGCAGGGGGGAGCCCCTGGGGCGGGCGGGGGGACCTGGCCTGGGGCTCACGGGGCCGGGGGAGACTGAGGCCTGCTTCTGGACATGTGCGCGCCAGGGGCCGGGAGCTGGGAGAGCCGAGGCCGAGGGCAGGACGGAGCAGAGACTGCCATCAGAGTAGGCAGATGAGGGACAGAGGTGGGACAGGAAGAGAGACAGAAGGGATCACAGGATGGAGACAGAGAGGGCACGGCTGCCCCGGGCCCCGGGCAACACGCACGGCGCAAGGCCTGCTCCCTGCCTGCCCGTAAGACGGTCACTAGGCAGAGAAGGCGCCCTGCCCTGGCAGCCTCTTCAAATCCTCACCTGCGCAAAAAGAGCAAACTGCGGGCCCTCGGCGGGCAGAGGCCCCCCGCAGGGGCGCACGCGGAGCCCGGGCGTGCCCAGCCTAAGACCTCCTGTCCGTGGGGGGACGCTTACGGGGAAACTGTCTGCTCGACACTAAAGGAGGGGCCGGGGCGGGCCCTCGAGACAACAGCCCTTGGCGGAAGGAGAGCGGAGGCTGTCCGCCTGACCACTCGGTCCAGCTCGTCTGACAATCCGGGACTTTCTGCAGAGCCGGGGACGGAGTCGGGAAACAGCAACAGACGTGCCGCCCTCAACGCCAGGGGCCCAAAACTAACCAGACAGGAGGCACCGAGCAGGCAGGCGTCCGAGTGGTATTACGGGAGGAACATGGTTCTGATCTGGCTCGGACCAGCCCTAACTAACACCCCTCGCGGCACAAAGGCCGTCGGTCCCCGTGGGGCGCGGCACCTGCCACAGCTCTATCGGCGCTGACCTGAGTGAGCGCTCAGGTCATTTCAGCTAAAGTGGCTGCGCGGATGGAGACTAGGGGGAGGCAGTCGCCACGGGGCACAGATGAGGCCAGGCCGGTCGTGCAGGCGATGGGGAACTCAAGCCAGCGCTTTCACACTAGCTGCAAGGCGCGAGAGCAGACGGGGTGGGGACACGCAGGCAGACAGACAGGATGATGAGGGCGGTGGGGGGGACACGCGGGGAGAGGCGGGAGGCGGGCCGCACCTGGTTGATGTGCACGGCCGGGATGGAGGCAGCGGACACTGCCGAGTGGCTGGGGGAGTTGGGCAGTGACTTGCAGGGCCCGATGGCCAGCTGCTGCTTCTTCCGCAAGGCCACGACCTTCTGGGCCACTGCAGGGGACAGCAGAATCAGTTACCCTTCTGGGGAGAAGGGAGAAGCCCCGCTTAGAGCCGCCCCCCCACCCCACCCCGGGGCCCACGGCCCCTGCCGGCCGCAGAGCCTCCTGAGCCGCGCTCCGGGGGCGCCGTCCCGCCCCGCGCCCGAGTTACCGTCCTGGAAGACGCGCTCCACGTTGAGCCCGTAGGTAGAGCACGTCTCGTAGTAGGTGCAGCGCTTCAAGTCTGTGGACAGCTTGCGGGCCCGGCTGTCGTCGATGACCCGGGGGTTTGCGGCACTGATGGCGTCTGTCGGAGGCGGGAAGGTGGGAACTTACTCAGCCGGCCAAGAAGCAGGTCCCAAGGCCGGCCGGGGAGGGTCCTCCGGGCAGAGGGTGGGCAGGCAGCAAGCCGAGGCGGCTGAGACACAGAGCGCGAGCACACGGGGCCTCCAGGCCTCAGTCCAGCCCTGCCACCGCCTCAGGGTGGAAATGAGCCAGCCGCTCTGTTCGCGCGCCCCAAAGGACTCAGACGCAATCGGCACACGAGGGGGAGGGGATCTAGCTGGGGGGAGACTCAGCGGGCCTGTGGCAAGGAGGCGGGGGGGGGGGCCCAGTCTCAGGCGCCTCCAGGGCTAGGACCCACGGCCGCCCCTCCCCAGCGCCAGCCCTGCGGGCCCGCTCACCCTGCGTGCCCACCAGCACCATGGGCACCTCGCTGGCGTTGCGGAAGCTGCAGAGCCGCAGGAAGTAGTTGTACACTGTCTGGAAGCTGATTTCATCCTCCAGGCTGAAGACAAACACCACCGCGTCCACCCAGGCAGCAAACTAGGGGGACCGAGCAGAGTTACCACCCTCACCTGCGCTCGCGCAGACCCCGCACTCCTGTCCACACGCGCAACTCTGCGCAGCCCCAACCAGCTCCTTGGGCAAGGGGCGCCACGGCGCTGGGGCATCACCTGGAGCTCAGGGGGGCCTCCTTCATCTCGGATCAGCAGCAGGTAACTCTGGCCATCCACCACAATCTCCTTCTTAAACCGACCCCCTAGGACAGAGTGTGCGATCAGGCCCAACACTGGGAGAGCCCAGGGGGGCCAAGCAACTCAACTCCACAGCTACCAGCACCAGCGACGGGTCGACTTGGAAGGACCCGGGGCTCCAGCCACCCCCCCCCCCCGCTCCTGCACAGACAACAGCAAGGAGAGGAAGGGGGCGCGGGGGTCCAGCCTCAAGGCCCAGGCAAGCCAACGACGCTCACCTTCAGGGGACTCTTCCTGGACATACGTCCCCGTCAGATAGCGGTGCACCAGGGCCGACTTCCCACTAGATAGGTTCCCCACAATGCCCTGTGGGAGAGGAAGGGGTGAGAGCGGTGGTCAGAGGCAAGAGATGGGGCGGGAAGGGCAGACGACATTAGGGAAGAGAGGGCCAGAGCCAAGGACCGGAAAGGAAAGAGGACCAGAAGTGACGGGCCTCGGAGAGAGAACAAGACGAGACAGGAAGAGCTGGCGCTGGGTGCGGGCAGCGGTGCCCGGGCCCACGGCTCTAGCCCGCACCCACCCGGCCCCAGGGCGGCCTGGGCCTCCCACGGGGCTCACTCACCACTTTAAGCTCCGGCACCGAGCGGCTCAGGGTCCACTCCTGGCTGTTCACAAAGGAGTCTGCAGAAAAGAAGGCCACCGATCAGGACCCAGGCGGCACACACCTGTGCTATCTGCCACCAGCTGTGTCCTATGCTGCCCCTTCCTGGGCCAAGGCCAGAAAACAGCAGGGTCCTGATGGGACCCCGACCCTTACCCCTGATTTCCCTAGAGAGCGGCAGGAAAATTCTCGGGGGAGGGGGGAGGACTAGAGCAATGACGGTCTTCAGGGAGAAGGCTCCCAGAGAGGTCGGGGCCCAGTTCCCCCAGCCTGGGCCTGTGTCCCTCCTGATCTCTCCCTGCTCCCTGAGCCATACCGGTCTGGTGCCACCGGGGCCCAGACGCCAGGCCCAGGTGAGAGGCCTCTCCAGTAGGTCTCCGCTCGGACCCAAGCCGGGCTGGGCACCTGGCAGCTGGGCAGGGGGAGCCAGCCTCCTGCAGCGAGTAGGAACAGCTCACCTTCACAGGGTGGGGCCACCCACCACATTCCTAGCCAGGGTGAAGAGGGAGGAGCCCTTCCCTAGCCTTGTTCTGTGAGGGGCAGGTCGAAGGGGGAGTTATCAATCCCGCCCGACTGGCCCTCCTCCCCAAGCTCCTCCTTGGTGGGAAGCCACCACCCTTTCTTTCCCGGGGGGACCCGCCTTCTGCACTGCCTGTGCTCCAGTCCAGTGTTCTCAGCTCCGGCCTGCCTCTGGCAGTGTCCTGGGAAGGGACCCCTCCAGCTGCCCGGAGCCCCCCTCACCCCCAGGAGCCAGACCCATTTTCTTTATCCTCTGCATGGTAGCAGACGACCCCCTGCCGGCTCCTGGGGGCCGGGCCCGCGCCGGCCTCACTGCCCGCTTGCCCTCCCCGGGCTGTCAAAGAGTAGCTACACCACCACCACCACCACATCGATCGGGTCCACAGGTAGCCACAGCCCATCTGCACGGGCAGCTGGGAGGGCTTAAGCCCCGCCCTGAAGCTAGAACCTCGCTCAGTCTCCTGTCCTGGGCCCCAATTCTGCAGGTGCCAAAAGTGAGGAAGGGGCCTCGACCCAAATGGCACCGGGCCACGGGCCACAGGGAGCACCCGGTGGCGGTCGCGGGCGACCCCGACTGGAAGCACCTGGAAGTCCTCCTCTGCCACAGCCACGTCTCCGGCCCCTCCGCGACCCGGCGCGCAGAGGGGCGCCGATCGCCCTGGGTCCCTGGCCCGCACACCACACCCACCTCTCCCAGGCAGGTTCACGGTTTGTCCTCACCCCCGCTCTCAACAAGGGGCTCCAACCAGGGAGGACTCCCAGGCCGGGCTCTCTCCCTTACCGCTGGGCGCGCCCAGGAGCCCGGGGGCCGCGGCCGCCCGGCGGCTCCACAGCGGCTCGGCGGGCGCGGGCGCGGGCTCCCTCCGGCGGAAGCGGCTGGTGAGCAGTCTCCAGAGGCCGGCGGCGGTGCGGGGCCGGCCGGGCTCGGGCGCGGCGCGCGGGGCCTCGGCGCCCAGCAGCAGGTCGCGGCGGCTGGGGAAGGCGCCCAGCGAGCTGGCGTCGCCGTCGCTGCGGGTGCGCGCCCGGGGCAGCAGCCCCGACTCGGCGCGCCGGATCTCCTGGCCGCGGCGCAGGCGGAAGCTGAAGCTCTTCCTCAGCGCGGACAGGCCGCGCCGGGGGCTCGGGACGCCGCGCCCGCCGCCGCCGCCGCGCAGCACCTGCCAGCGCTGGCTGCTCCACAGCGAGGCGCCCCGCAAGAAGCCCGCGGAGCCCGCGCGGCCCAGCCCCGCGCCCGCGCCCTCGGCCGCCGCCAGCTCCAGGCGGTTCACCTCCAGGAACGTCATGCTGGTGGGCCGCGGCCGCGGCGCCTGGGCGCCCCGCGTGTGGCCGCGCCGGGCCGGCGCGGGGCTGGGCGCGGGGCTGGGCGCGGCCGAGCCGGGGAGTCCCGGGGGCGCGGGCCCCGGGTCCTGCGCGCGGCCGTCGGCGGGGCCGCGGCGGCCGAGGCGCGGGCGCAGGAGGCCGAGCAGCAGGCTGCGGGCGCCGGCGGGCGGCGGCCCCGGGCCGCCCGAGCACACGCTCCGCGGCCGCGCCGGCTGCTCGCGCGCGGCGCTCAGGGCGGCCTGGAGGGCGGCGGCGGCGCGGCCGGCCGGGGCGCCGTGCAGGTCCAGCGAGTCGCAGACGCTGAGGGCGCGGCGGCAGGCGGCGGGCCGCTCCCGGCTGCAAGTGTCCCCCGGCGGCCAGCCCCGCTCCATGCTCAGGGCCCGCGGGCGAGGGCCAGGCCCATGGCGAGGGGCGCGGGGCTGGGCCCGCGCCGGGGCCGCGGCCGGGGGTGGGCGCACGGACCTCCGGCCTCCGGGCACCTGGCGGCGGGGGGGCCGACCGAGTCCCTCAACGCTTTCCACCACCTCGCAGCCGGCAAGCCCAGACCTGGAGAGGCCTGCAGCCGGCCCGGCAAGGAGAGGCGGCAAGCCTGGCCTGGAACACCCTGGAACGGCGGCCGCCAGGGGAGTCGGCCTGCTGGGGCAGCCCCCGGAGCCCTCAGAAAACAGGAAATTCCAGCCCAGGGCTCCTCCTCGGATTGGGGCAAGTAGGTGAGGAGCCGTCATTACCAGCAGGGCCAAATAAATAACAGTCCTCGGCACAGCACACGCGGGGGGCCCGGTGCTGGAGAGAAGTGGGCCATTTGCTCTTTCTCTCAAGGACCCCAACAGGTGCTACACTCCGGGGCCAGAAGGATGAGAAGCTTCAATGAGGAGTCAGGAGGCAGGTCAGATGGCCTCTCTGGCCCTCAGCCTCCTTATCTGTAAAATGGGGGGGCCTGGAGGCGTAATCCTTAGTTTGTGGCTGAGACGTTCTGAGGCTGGGGCACTCCAGTGTCAGAGTTGCCGAAGGCTGCGCGCAGGCTCCCGTGTTAGTGGCCGAGGTGATCTTCTCCCTCGGAGATTAGAAAATTGTCTAGACGGGGTCAAGTGTCCAGCCTAAGGGCAGCAGAAAGGGTCCGGGCCACACCGTTCTGGACGAAGCAATTCATTTCTGGTCTGAGGTCTCCTCCAGTGTCCTGCTGGCTGAGTCGCACCTCCTGCCTAGAGGCGGTGCAGAGATTGGCCGGGCTGAGGTGAAGTGTTCACCCTTGATACTGGCTGGGGCCTGATGCGCTCTCGCTTGCTCGCTCGCTCGCTCGCTCGCTCTCTGAGCACAGACGCCTGTGTGCGCGTGTGGGCTGCACCAGGCACTCACTGAGTGCATGGCCCACCCCAGGGCGGGGACAGGGGGCTGGCCTGATGTGCTTAAACATCAGGTCCTGGACATGAGCTGGTTTACCAGGCCCCACAAGGACCATGATCGAGAAACCAGCTTGGGCAACGAGGATGAGGGGCCCCACACGCGCTCTGGAGAAAGAACACTCCCAAGCCTCCCCCCGCCCCCAGCCCAACTGCCAATGCCCCTCTCAGCTTCAGAATTCCAAGTTCCTGGGTAGAAGCAGAGAACAAGATAAAAGTGGCACATTCCTGAGGGGGCTGGGGTGGGGGAATGCCTGAGGAAGGCAGGGCCTCCATCCTAGGTGCTCCAGAGGCACCCAGAGCTGGAAACTCTCAAGTCCCGGGCTGGATCTCCCAGGCCTGGAGAGCCCCAGGGGGTGAGTTCATGTTTCCCTGGGACTAGTTATTAACAGCGATGAGGCTGGCTTCTTCCTCTCCGGGGGGCAGAGCCCCCACGTAATAGATGGTTCCACAGAGGGACCTTTCCCAGGATCCTTCAGGCGCGGAGACAGGATCACAGCCCTGGAACCCTGACTCACTTTTCCACACTGAAGTCTCCCACACTCAACTTCCCTATCTGCCTGTCTGTCTGTCTGCCCTCGAGCTCACGTGCACAGAGGGAATTACCCCCCCACCGCCGAAGAACAAGGCTGCTCATTACCAACTGTCCCCCCACCCCCACCCCAATGAAATTGCAAACATGGGACAGCAGTCATGCCTGGGGACCAAGAAGGGACAGGGACAAGGTGCCCAGGAGGCGACGGGCTGCCAGAGAACCCCACTGGCCCTCTCCGTGGGAGAGAAGCAGGACCCCACACAGGGATAGAGGCCCTCAGACCCACACATAACACGATGCAGGGAGATGGGCAGCAGCGGCTTCCCCGAGAAGGGAACGAACATCCTCCGTTCTCGGAGGACACACCAGCTCTGGGCTCCCACGTCACCTGCGGAATCCTGTCCAGGCAAAATGTTCAACCTGTGTCATTTCTCAAACCTGCGACAGCTTCCTCTTCCTCACCTGGCTGTCTCCTGCCCATCCCCCCTTCCCAGACACCTCTCCAGACCCAGAGAAGGACACGTGCCGACACATAAATATCGCCAGGACATCAAGCCGGCCCGAGATCTCTGACTCCTTCACTGGCACCAGCCCCTGGTCAAGACAAAGTCTGTGTCTTCTGCCTGATGAGATTCTGCTTCAAAGAGATGTGGCAAACGCAGATGCACTTGACGCGGCCCCAAAGAAATGAGGACCATCCTAAACAGCCCGAAGCGGGGATCACGTGAAGAGTAGTGAAATTCCACGATGCTGGCCCTCCTGTGAGTTCACAGTTTCCTAAGGTCACCGGAAACACCAGGCTAACTCTTTGCTGAGGGGTGAGACCCTCCATGGCAATTTCTGGGGGAATTAAAGATACAGTTCCTTAGGCTGCCTGGATGCCCGCGGTGTACACTCGGTGTGAGGATGGATACGTGTCACCCCGGAAGCAGACGGTCCAGAAAATGAGCCGGGAAATCAATCAGCAGAAAAAACCAACTCTACATGTATCCACAGCTGGGTAGGCTGGACCCACTACATGGACAGGCCTCTGGGCCTGCGACATTTCTAGCCCCGGGGAGCTGGTGGGGGAGAGAAAGACCCCTGCCAAGTGAGACCTGGGAGGCACTGCACAGAGACCAAACACTGGTGTGAGGACAGGGCGGCCTCCAGCCCAAGAGTCCCACACAACCTTGGACCTAGTCTCCGCTCAAATATTTGCTAGGGGTGACCGGCTGATAAGTAGGCAGGCGTGCCCGGCTGAGGCCACCCAAGCCACAGAGAGCCCGCAGCCGTTCTCAGAGACAAGGAAGGGCTAGCTCTCTGCTAAAAGCCGAAGGGTGCACGTGAGTGCAGGGAGAGACGTGGGCGCCTTCCAGCGGCCCTGCCCGAGGGGTCCCAGAGCCACTCTGGTGCCGTCAACATCCGCCATGCTCTTCTTGTCCACAAGGTGGCAGCAAAACATCTTCCTGCGGCCCGGGCGCCTCTGAGGAGGGAGGCCCCAGGAAGGTGGAGCAAAGAAGGCCTCAGGGGGACAGGTGAGTGCCACACCCAGGCTGGGTGGTCTCTAGCAAGTACGGTCGGCTGTGCGCAGGCCTCCGGGTGGGGGGTGGGGAGGCCGTGGAGAAGAGGGGGTGGCTCCAGACTAGGTTCGCCCCCGGCCTCCCCAACAATACGCCATTCCCACCTAATGGGGGACACGTCCCTCTTTCTAGGGTGTCAGGAACTGTCCACTGACACACACAATAGCAGCTTTGTCACTGCACGCATGGGACACTCATCATTCAGGTGCTTTTTGGCTGTGTTTACTGCTCCCCCATTAGACCTCGGGCAGGCACGCAGGAGGCGTGCAGTGGTTCGAATGAATGAATGAATGAATGAACGAACAAACGAACGAACGAACAAATGCTGAGCATGAACTGCACTCTCAGGCTTTTGCCCTCCTTGTGGGGAGGGAGGCAGACGTATAAGAGATGGTCCCTGGCTGGGACAGTCCACTAAGGAGATAAATGACAGCCTGAATCATCTGCAAAGATCGCCGGTCCAGAGACGTGGGGTGCACCAGCAAGTCACAGGCTCTGGACTTGAAAGGACTTGGTTCAAATGCAGCCTCTGGCCCCCACTGGCTTTGTGTCCGTCCACACGAGCTGGGTGCCCATCCACAGTCACTTGCACCTCACTGGGCCTCGGGTTTTAGTCTACAACCAGGAACAATGCCATCTTGCCCCCTGAAGTTGCTAGAAGACCAGTGCTGTGATTTGAGGAGCCGACACGGTGCCGGGCGCGAAGCAGGCGCGCAGTAAAAGAAGCCGTTCCTGCCGGCTGAGCGACAGAGCGTGGAGAGTCCTGTCGGAGGCAGGAATGATTTACACTGGTGCCAGCTTCCTTCCACTCGGAAACCTAATTGGACATGCCAGCCCATCAGCACAGGCCTGTCCATTGCTAGCTCTCTCTCTCCCTCTCCCTCTCTCTCTTCTCCACAAGATGGTAGAGGCAGACCTCGGAGATCCCAGGGGCCCTGCTGGACCCCGTCTTTCTCTGATAATTTGATGAAAGCTGTCATGGGCTGCGCTATGCCCCCCGCCACTTGTGTTACGAAGTCCTAACCCCCAGTGCTTCAGAACGTGACCTTATTTGGAAATAGGGTGCTTGCAAATGTAAGTAGCCAAGATGAGGTCACACCAAAGGAGGGTGGCTCCCTGCTCCCCTATGACTGCTGTACTTAGGAAAAGGGGTAATTTGGACATAGAGGCGGTGATGGAGAGGGAAGATGATGTAGAGAGACGCGGGGGGGTTGGGGGGAGACGACTGTCTACAAGCCGAGGAGAGGAGGGAGCCTGGGACTGACCCTCCCTCCCGAGCGCTGTCACAGGAATCGGGGCCCGGCCTGTCTGCTCCTTCATCTCAGACTTCTGGCCTCCAGACTATAAAAACGAATGTGCTGTGGTGACGTGCTCCAGCGGCTCAGGAAATGGACAAGAGCGAGACCCAAGATGGTGGGCTCCAGGGGCCCAGGCGGGTGTGACTGCACAG